CTCTGGTGGGCACCTGGCTCCCAGCCAGGGTAGACCCACTACAGTGCAAAAAACTCCCAAGTAGTTATTACTCAGTGGAAGCAAATCCTAGATATGTAAGGCATGGGGTACACGCAAAGCGCTGGCAGAAACAGAATTTGTTGGTAGACATACCTCTGCCCTCAAGACATGTGTCGTTTCTTCAGATGATCCCCCAAACTCTCTTGAGATTAAAAACATGGTTTGGGACAATCCTTCTCTGATTCCTCCAGTGTACGCAGCATGCTGCAAGCGACAAAACACCCACTCCTGGCAGCCTGCCCCCCAAAAATTTAGAGGTTGCTGCCTGCTCCTCCGGTGGGATTCCTGCAAACACAACCTGCCTCTGCCGTGGGTTCAGCTGGTGATTTTCCCAACGTTAATGCCGCCGGGTGCAGCGTGTGACCGTGCTGCGGGTGCTGTGCCTGCACAGAGATGCCGTCTCTGCCCCATCTGTCATTGCCCGGGCCCCTGCCTGTGCAGACCATTTCAGAGCTGGGTCTGAGAGGCTCCGGGGAGCGCCAGGAGGAAGCTCAGCCGTAGCGAAGTATTTCTGTCCTTGGTTCTGCTTATCCCGAATCAGTTCTCACAGCTCCCTTCTGTAATTTCTTCCCCCTTCTGTAGCAGCTGTCTGCGCTTTCAGCTGTTCTGCCACAACCAAAGGTGCCAGCACCCTTTAAATAACTACAGAAAAGTAAGGGTGCATTCCCCGTCCTGGAAGAAAGAAGAAATTTGGGGGTTTGGGTTTTTTTTTTTTGCCTTGTGGAAGACAAGTGCTTGTCAGAGATAACTAGGAGGGGTCTGGAGGTTATTCACAAATTAATTAGCCTCTGAAAGGAGAGGAGTGCAAGCAATGCCAGATAAGGCTGTAGCAGCCACACCCCTGCAGCAAACAGTTAATATTCTCTTTCTTCTCCAGGGGAATGTCAGGGGTTAATTCAGTAGCTGTGCATTTAATAGCTCGATTTAAAGGGGAAAAAATGACACCCTTCTCCCCTGCCTTGCTGGTTGTGGATGGTTTGCTCTGTCTCGTTGATCACATGCTCCCCGAGCCCCTGGTGCTGCAGAAACCCCAGCTGCTGCTGCTGATGAGCTGGTGCTGCTCAGGATCCGTCCCGGCCGCTGCCTGTCAATGCCTTGCAGTCCTGACCTCCTCTTTAAAGGAGGGAGCACGCAGAATGCACCCTTGAGCATATGGGTGGAAATTTGGGAGGCACTCATTCTCTCACCACCGTTTTCAGCTCTAACCATGTCTATTTGTTGTTGTCTTTTTTTCAGGGACTATGGATCTTCAAAGCGAAAATCAGGTAAGATACCAGGCTATTTATGTATTGCATGACTACCCACGCACTCCCAAACCTTCCCTTTGCCTTGTGTTGCATGAGATTGTATTGCAGTTTAACTTTTTATTGCTGAAGCCTCCTGGAGGCAGGCATTGGTTTCTTTGCGCTGGAGAGGAGAAGAAACCCACCTTATATAGTATTGCATTTAAAATGATTGCTTTCCTCTGACTGCATTTATACAGCTCCCTCTCTAATCTGAGAGGATAATTGTATTATTTTTTTCTCTTTTTTTTTTTTTTTTTTCCTTAAGTCTATCTCTACCTGAGCAAGTAGTCAAAATGCAGCCTGAGAGTTGGGGTCCCTTTTCTGGAGGCAAAGGGAATGCTTTTCTGTTCTGTCTGAATTTTTATTTTATCCCCTTCCCCCCCTTCCAAAAAGCTCTGTTGAGGCTTCTGATGCAAAATGTTCTCAGTGCCTGTGTCTGGGTTTGGGCTGCCTCAAAGGCTCAGTGTTTTGTTTTTAAGATCCTAGCTTCAAATGTCCTATAAAACCCTGATCTGGAACTATATAAATCTAATTTTTCTCCTCCCCTTATAGCTCTTAGTGATTTTTACAGATGTGTTTTCAATAGGGACATGTAATTATAGGCCTCTGGGTTTGGCTGCTCTGAGCTGGATGCGTCAGGGCTTTCCTTTTTTATTTATTATTTTATTTTTTTTCCCCCAAGCAGCACTGAGCACCTGCAACTCTCATTGACTTTGTTTGGAGTCTTGGGTGCTCCAGATTGCATTCAGGGCATCCAAAGACAGGCCTTTCAAACCAATAGTAACTCCTGGAAAACTCTGGCCTGTGTGTAGGGGAGGGAAGAACTTTTTCTTACTGTTTTTTAAGATGATGAAGAAACACTGCAATGGCTTAGTCCCTGGGAAGGAAGGGAAGATGCATGTAACATGCCGGACTCCAATGAATGTCACTGCCAGGACTGACTTGTGGTTAATTATGAGAGCTTTTAAGCTGCAGTCCTACATAGTAGTAAACACTGGGGGCTTTTGGGCTTGGAAAGACCAGTGAAAAACCTTGCTCAAGTCTCTGGGGAAACCTGATTTAGCACTGACCTAGAACAGCATTAGGAAACTGGGAGAGCTTTGGGCTCAGTGCACCAGTTGACATGCACAGGAGTTCCAATACTCTTGCAAGAGACGTGAGGAATTGCTTTGAGAGTGTGAGAAACCACTCCTCGTCCATTCCTGTGGCTCTGGGGGAAAGTTGGAGCTGATCTGCCATGATACTGGGGGAAGAGGGATTAAGTTGAGTCAGTGTAGCTGAGATGCCAGTTGTGGCTGCTGCCCTGCTGGGCTATCTGTTGGCCTCCTGCCCTCAGCATCCTGAATGACATGCCCTTCCATCCCTGTGAGGGATGGATGCTCAGGTCGGGCTCTCTCCCTTGGCTGTCCCACCTCCGCATGCTGCCGGGTCACCTTTTGGGACTGTTTCCTCTTCTCTGTTCCTGGGTGCTTGGCTGCTCGCACAGCTAGGGCTTGGAAACAGCGGGGTTCAGGGATGCTCTTTCTCCACTTACCCTGTAGGAAGAGGAATGTGAAGCAGCTCTCTGACCAAAGTAAGCTGCATAAAGGGACTCTGTTCTCAGCCATCTTCTTGCCTGATTTTAGAGTGGCGGAGGAATGCTTTCTTCTGTTTGGAGCTGGATGTTGTGGGAGTGCGCGCACAACGAGCGAAGGAATATGCCAAGGGAGTTGGTATTACAGCCTGTAACAAAGACCAGCTTTATGGTGCTTGAAGAAATGATGGGTAAATAAGCACAGATTTCCAGGATGTGCTGTGAGAGTCCTTTAAGATAACAAATCGCTTTGAAATGCATTTTCCTGCATAGGTGCAGACGCTACTGTGTCTTTAAACAAGAGACAAGTCGGCACTTTTAAATGCAAGCACCTCCCAACAAATCAGACCTGCGAACACATCTTCTATCTTGACTGAAGATGTGCTGGGAGGAGGCTCTTGGGTGTGAGCACGGCTGTCCTGCACTGTCCGGCAGGAATCCCACAGCTGCTGCAGCTCAGGCATGTGCAGGCACAGCACAAGCGTGGCTGATGGCAGAAACGTTTGGGGAATGCCTCTGACAGGCAACCTCACCTCTACCCTGACCTCTGCCTTGCCAGAGTGTGTGTCTAGCTGGTCCTGCGCTTGCCCCTTAGAGCAGGGAGAAATTGGATAAGTTGAGAGTTTAATAGGTGTTATGGAAACATTTATGGCTGCAGCTGATATTGTTTGTAAACATTTGAGACCTTCTGAACCAAATGCAATAGCGTGGCACATCCTTAGCTAAACAGAAGGGAGTCTTGCACCTATCTGGGGCATCTCTGCATGCCAGCCCTGAGCCAGGCTTCCTCTTGTGCAAAGTGCTGTATAAACACACAGCCCTTTACTTGGCTGCGATCTAATTATAAATGCTTTAACCTGCAGTCAGCTCTGAGACCTGGGTCTTCACTGAAGCAACTAAGGCTCTGTGTAGGCATGGGCGTTTGCTGTGGCCTGAACTGCCACATGTGCTGTTCACTTGGATTTGTGGGGCTTTACTTGACATGCTGCAGAGCAGCTTCAGAAAGCTGCCTTCATATTTCCAGGCAATTGAATTGTTGCTCTATGACCATCTGTCAGTGCCGAAGAGACCTCAGTACAACTGCAAGGACTCGTTACTGTGGGCATATTCTGTACACTCGCAACAAATGGTCTCGTCTAGGTCTCTCCAAAGACCCTCTGTAGCAAAAAGGGAAGGAATTACTTTTCAGACTCTGATTTGTCGATTGCATTAACCAAATGAACAGCAACTCATTTGTCACCGAAACAGGCATTACTTCTATGCAAGCATCTATTCTGTGTTTTTTCTCTCCTCAAATCAAAATAAGAATTGCTGCAGGTCTAGTAATGGATATTTGCATGGTACATTACAAACCACAAATTAGGTTAATCCACTCTGCAAACCCTACCAGCTACCATCTGTGCATGGTGAACTAATTAACCCTTGAGACATCTGCTAATTCTGATGTGGCTCGTAAAGCCAGTTGGAGTTTTTCTTCCCAAAGATATGTCCCACACACCACCACCCTCCCCCCCATCCCTTGCTGGCTAGAGCAAGTTTCAGATTCCTGGAGTAAGATAATCATGCCCTCTTCCCTTGCTGAAAATCTTTCTTGGCTGGTTTCATGCTGAAGTTGTTGTCAGATCCCCAGTCATGAAGCTGAAGCAAGCATCTGGGACCTGGTATTTGGTGTCAATAGGGAGTTGGTATGGGCTCCACAGCTTTTCCATGCTGAGTCTCAGTGGTCCTCAATTACTGAGAGGGCTGTCCTTGCTAACAGTGAGGTCAGAAGAGATGTGATTTCACCTTTGCTTTCAAAGCTAAGGCATGGATTTCTGTCACCTGCCTTGTAGGCAGCTAAGCCCTTTTGCTTACTGCTTTTGATGGGCACTAGCAGGAGCACTGCTGGCCTCACTCTTCTGAAATCATAACAAAAAATCCCACTGTTTGCTTACTCCCACTGCTCTGACTGTCCTGTTAGCTGCTGAGGGCACAGTTGGCTTCACGCTACTGCTCAGCAGCTTTCTCTGGCACCTTGTTGCTATGCTGTAGGATGCCCCTCCAAGTGAGGGGGAATAAACTTTAAAAAAAAAAAAGTTATGGCTCCATCAGTATTGCAGCATCTCCTTTCTGTAGTTGATCAGATCCTGCCTGCATCAAGCTGGCTGTGCTTTGGCTGAGTCTGCCAGCTGAAGCCCTTAAATAGCCCTTGTAACTGAGCACTTAGAATATTAATTTAACTTTGGTCCAAGCCAGTGTTGCCTCAGTGAGGATGCTGATGAGGCTTGGCTTCCTCAGCAGAGAGCGCTGTCCTTCAGCTTGGTTCCCACATCCAATTTTTGGACTAGCAGAATATGGTAGCACCCAGACAACAATCTGTGCTTCCTTGCCCTCCTGTAATCTAAAACTAGGAAGGATGTATCCACTGGCAGGTAAATAAAAACTTCAGAGTTCACTGGAAGCTTCTTCTCAAACTTTTTATAGAAACATCTGTAATGCTCTCTCTTCCCTTAACAAGGAAATTAAGTAGAGTTGAGAGTTGCAACAATGATGGAAATGGGGCCTCCAAGTGAAAAACAAGCAGGTGATTGTAACAACACCAAGGGCCTGCATGACCGATCATTTTGTGGGATTGCTGCCTTGGGCTTATGGGTGGAGCTGACAGCAAGAGTTTTTTCTTTAGCCTAATTCTTCATTAGTTGGGAAGCCCTCACTCTTGCACACTGGGGATGTGTGCTCTGTCAGCTTCAAGGAGAGGCCTTAATTGCTGTTTCTTTGAGTTATCAGGGATAGGGTTTTTTCTGCTTCCTTTGTAATTACAAAGGAAAATGGTTTAACTTCTGGCTTTTTCTGTCTTTATAGCTAGAGCTATGCTCATCACTTCAGAGCTTAACCTTTCTGGTCCTGTCACACTGCACGTGTCTTGCCTCCACTTACAGCTCCATTACATGTCTCACATTTTTTATTTTTATAAATGAGCCTTATTTTCTTAACTTCAGTTTGAACTGCCTCCTTTGAGGCGCTATGGAGAAAATGAATGGTGTGTGCTAGCCCTTCTGCGCTTAATCATTCAATGGGGTCACAAATGTGTGAGCCATTAGCTGGACCAGCAAGGCTGTGAGTGTGGAGCCCTCTGCCAGCTTCCTAGCTCTGCAGCAGGCTTTTAGGAGAGGAGGGAACATATGGATCTGCAGCCCTGGCATGTATTTTATGATATCTGTGGGAGATGGCTGCAGTGGAGGGAGAAGGAAGGATGTCTCTGAGAGGCATGGTGCTGCCTTTCCTTTGCCTTAAAGTTGTTGCAGTATTGATGGGATGTCATCTGAAGTGGTGGATGCCCTTTTAATATTAGAAGAGCTGTGGACACAACTGGTAGCATGCTGTGGGCATGCCTTAACTTACTCAGTTGAGTGTTAAATCTGCCTCT